GGTAGGAAAGTGAAATTTAGCAATGTGATGGATTGAAATTATGGTAAAAGGAACAGGTATTTCAAAGTGTTCATCTCTATTGTTTTATTTGTCTTTAAGAACAGAAATTGGAGTGTACACTGTACACTGCATAGGAAATTGTAGTGAATCAGTGGAAGTGTACAAACTTGAGTATTTGTCACAGCATTATTTTAATGCAACCATGACTTTTATTTTGCCTCTTGCCACTGATACACAGTGTGTTCTGAGCTTGTGTCTTTATTTGCTTGAGATATCTGTTGCTTTCTATATAAAATGTAATATTTGAAATGTAGTATCTGTAATTTCAGTGTTCAGAGGAAACGTTGGTACTAATGCTTGTTACAGGGAAAAAAAAACAACAACAACAACAAAAAAAAGCCTCATGCCCTTATTATAATTTCTTAGGGTAATTTGATCTACAAACTACAAGTGCAAGCTTATCTGCTTATCAGCTAACTGTCTGTTCTCAGCTCTGAATGAAATAGATGCATGTTGACCATGGTTCAAAAACAGCCACCATTGATTTTCCTTTTATTAATTTTAATGTTAGGGTAATTTCATCACTTTTTCTTCAATTTGTAATTTACCCTAGGTTTTTTCTTAAAGACCTTCCACTGTCCCAGCCCTTTAGTTTTAAGTTTTAGATCAAGGTTTCCTTTTGTTTCTGCACTGGAACTCTTTGAGCATGACCCATATCACCTCTGATCTAGTTTTGCAGAACCTGCTTGGTGGCTCAGTACATCTCTTAGCCCTACTTCTCTGTAAACCTCTAGAAGCAACTTCTGTTGTGTAGTTTAAAGATCTGCCATCTAAGTACCGCAGTTGAACTGCACATAGGCAGAGCTCAACTTTCAACATTTTAATGCTCGCTTTTCCTTTATTATGCTCATTTTTCCTTAGTTTCCTTAGTTCCTTAATTTCCTTAAGTAAACAATCTTTTAGCAAGCTTAATCCATTTACCCCTGGGGCCTGCAGATTATGAAAAGCACTTCAGAGAGGAGCTTATAGAGATCTGGGGTTGCTTCTTTTCATGGGAGGGATTGCTGCCAGTGTGTTGTGCCTTTCCTGTGGCAGTTATTGCCTATCCCAGGCCTTGTGCCTCATAAGATCTCAAGCACCAAGGTAACAAAAAGCTGGACTACAGTGATAAAGTGTATAAAAAAACAAGAATCACAGAAATGTTATAAAGTGCTTATTGTCTGTCCATAAATCAAGGACCAGGTATAATTCAGCATGGCTGTGGGGACTCAGGTATTGCTGGATTTGTGGTGCAGCAAAGTGAGTCATGGACACCATGCTTCGCAAACTGGCAAGCTTCCCAGACCCAGCCTCATCCCTGGCATCTTCCCCATGTCTCCCTGTTCCCATTGACCCTGCCAAACCCCATGGCTCGAGCCTTGCAGATCCTGTGCTGCTGCAGGTCACAGAGCCCTGGTCATGCAAACCATCTCCCTCAGCAGCCAGTGTTGTCTCCACAGGCTCATGTATCCTTAGCAGTGGCCATTATGCATCACTTCTGAAAGCTTCTGGTTAAACAAAGACTGTGACTCCTTCTCACTTCATGAAGATAATGGTCAGAGACAGGGTGCAAACAAAGTCAGTCTGTGAAGGAGAGAGGGTAGCTTATCTTTGTCTGAAACAGAGCCACGAACAATATGTCAATGTCCATACATATTCAGCTCTGAAGACTAGCTTGCTGTGGTGTAATTTTGGAAGTTGAGGTATGGAAGTCATTTTTCTCCAATAAAAGTAGCTTCTGTCAGAAGATGATTGGAAGCCCTGGGGCTTTGCCTGTAGTTTTGGTGCTTGTAGAGTAAATACGTTGCTTTGCTGAAGTCTCGTGTAATGATGTAAAATTACCATGACACATGTACGAATGAAAGCACTGTTGTCAGGGTAGACAGGGTAGCCAAATTATTGCCACCCTGTTTTTCCAGTATTCAGTTTAAAAAGATGTGGTTGTGTTTGTTGTTGCTGCTGTTGTTGATGTTGCCTTTTATATGTTTTAACTAAAAGTTTTAATGTCATTTTAAGTAAAGAAGAAAAAGAAAAGCCAAGTGATCATGTGCTGATTCCATATACAAGGTAGTATGAATTGAATTGAACTGAATAGATAGCACTGAAAATAGATTTGTCCTTCAGGATCTGTTAGGTGAGGAAGGAGGAGAGAGTTTTGCAATGATGACAATCACTTTGATATCATTACTTGAAATAGCTGCAAGCAGAAGCCATAGATAATAATAATCTTCAAACTGTAGAGGTTGATAGCTCCAAGAAGCCAAGAATGACTGCAGCTGCCTTAAGTAATGGTGGAACAAAGCCATCTAGTTGTGAATACTTTATGCAGATGAAATATAATCACAGAGTCAAAATATGCAGTCATCAGGTTTGAGATCCAAGAAGCAGGTGGTACACATGTCTATCTCAGGGTTTTGGAGGGCTTCCCTGGCATCAAGCCTCTCAAAGAATCATAGACTAAAGAAATTGTTTTGATGCCTACAATTAGAGAACACAAGGGGACCGTCACTTCAAACAGAAAATTATTCCTTGTCTGTGGTCTCCTCCAGGCATTCAATGAGGCAGATTGTTCCTGCTATAAAATAATGCTTCAGAACTCAATGCCACTTTTTTTCTGGAAGGGGTAAATGGAACCTAATGACAGAGAGGAAAAGATTTCCAAATTTTGCAACTGGCAACTACTACCAGATGATCCATGAGCTTTTAAAATCCATGTCCATGTACATCAAAGCATGGCTTCTCAATAACTGAGCAATCAAATTTGTAGAGAATGTGGCTAAGGTAGCCCACTACTCCTGAATTATTTATGACCTGGTCACAGCATTTGTAGATGTGTTTACTCTTTATAAAATGCCTGCAGGAAAAATTTCAAAGATAATTTTTTGCTTCTGTATTCCTAGAAAAAAAGACCACTGTAATTAATAACATTTTAATAACCCTGCAGTTTCAGTGTTCACTTAGTCACAGAATCACAGAATTTCTAGGTTGGAAGAGACCTCAAGATCATCGAGTCCAACCTCTGACCTAACACTAACCAGTCCTCCAGTAAACCATATCACTAAGCTCTACATCTAAATGTCTTTTAAATACCTCCAGGAATGGTGACTTGACCACTTCCCCGGACAGCCCATTCCAATGCCTAACAACCCTTTTGGTAAAGAAGTTTTTCCTAATATCCAACCTAAAACTCCCCTGGCGCAACTTTAGCTCATTCCCCCTCGACCTGTCACGAGGCATGTGGGAGAATAGACCAATCCCCACCTTGCTACAGCCTCCTTTAAGGTACCTGTAGAGAACAATAAGGTTGCCCCTGAGCCTCCTCTTCTCCAGGCTGAACAGTAACAGTATAGTTTGATGTTGATACTTAATTTCTATTAATCTTAAGTACTAAAGCAATTACTACAGTTTTGGAGCCACAAGCTTAAGAGAAAAGAACATTTTAAGGAAGAAAAAAAAAAAAGAAACAGTATCAATAGTGAATAAACAGTCTTGTGACTTTTAGGATATTTTAATATTTTTCTATAGCAGATGAAAAACAGTAAAGTACCATGCATATGAAGTTCATATCTGAAAGCAGCTCTGTTCTTTCTTGACAAATGGAGAAATTTATTGATAATCTATCAGAATATGTGATCAATTTTTTCTTTTGCATTCATAAGAAATAATGAACATGCACATATGTGTATGGTCCAATGTGGTGTTGAGAGCACCAGCTGAGTAGTTAGTCTTCCATTTTCCCTTTTAAGTTGTTAACTTAAAAAGTGCATACAGAGACTGAGTCAGTGTAAAGTGAGACCAGGCATTGATCCTTCTTCCTTGAACACTTTCATCATGAATTCTGTTATTAGAAACTAATATCTTGGAATGCTGTCACTTCAGTCTGCTTTCTTTATGTGCCCTTTCATGTTGATCATTAGCATTTCTCTGCATGTGTATGTTAAATAAACATTCTCTAATGCTGCCTTTTTCCTTCATTTTTCTTAGTTTAATTATTCTAGTTGGAAATAAGTAAATCTGCCAAAAGATTAAAGAAATGGCTTATTCATTATTTAAGTAATGATTGCCCGTCACTGGTCAGACAAGTGAGTTGGTATTCAACTGACCACAGGTCAATATCTACAATGTTGAAATCTATATCTATGCTAATCACCCCAGGGCTGTCTTTATAGAAAATGGAAAAGAAAAAAAGCATTTTCAGGATCTGATTGTTGTCATCCCAAATTAGGCAACTAAAATAGATCAGGGGATTTACAGCCTAAAAATGCTACTCTTACTTGACTATAATTGAAAGAATGACTAGCTTAGGTGTTTGCTTTGTAGATGTCCAAAGGTACATGTAGATTAGATATATCCTATTGCCATGCTCAAATTAATCATAAAAGCTCAGGGTTTTTGTGATATGACACTTCTAATGTGAATGTACTGTGGCTGTGTTTGTTGACATAAAGGGCATAGTGCCATTCAGTGCCCTGCACAGATGAGCAAGTCCTGCTCAGCACAAGCACCAAAAGCAGTACAGTCATGTTAGGAATACGTTTCAAATGGATTATGTTACCATGCTTTTCACCATGACATACCAGGGTAGGTCCACATTCTTTCCAGAATGGGTCATTTTGGGAAACAGCATTACACTCTGATTGTATACATGCAGAGGTGGTTAATACTTGTTAGAAGTTAGGTCCTGTTACAAAGAAAAACGTATTACATATTACAAACAATAATAATACCTAGCCTTGCCTCAGCAAGCTTACAAGGAGCTAATTTATAAAGAACAAGGGAGGAACCTGAATACAAGTAACATTATCCTGTGGAAAGGTTTAGGAATGATACATGGCAATTCCTCTTTCATGGAATAGGGTTCAAAAAGGTGACAGACATTGAATGCTGAGAATTTTTAGGTTCAGTAGTTAATTCAGGACATTGCCTTAACGGTGATTTTTCCTGTGGGTTTTTCCCCTTAGGATGATTTCCAGCATGCAGCCTCAGAAACCAACTGGGAGTCAGTCACAAGCTCTGTCTCAGTAAGTAGCTTGTTACTATTTTGCCCATGAATAGATTGATAGAATGGCATGAATCCAAATCACTGTTATGGTACCTACACAGAGAAGCCATGTATTCACCTTTGGCAGAGGATAAAATAAGTGAGTAACAAACTTACGCTTTTTAACCACTGTGTTTTTAAAGGGAAAAGATTCAAAATATGCCATCGGGTGTTGTAACCACATGAGATAGCCATTTGGAAACATTTCTTGCTTCCAAATTCGTCTTGCCAAGATGAAAATACAAGATATAAACACCTTAGAATTTTCAGTGGTAAAATGTCTTGACCTAAATAGAAGATTTTACTTATAGCAGGCTGGTAGAAAAAGGGATTTAGCATTTTATTGTCAATATGAGATTTTTTAAGTGTTTGTAATATAATACTGTATCTAAAAGTCTCCATATTCATCAATGAAATGTGACTCAGGGAAAAAAAAAAAAAAAAAAAAAAAAAAGAAGGAAGCCAGTGTCCAGTGTACAAATATTTTTCTTTTCATCACACTCAGTTTGTGTCATTGATATATTCTGGGTCCACATTGTGGGGAATAGAAAGGTATCATCAGACTTCATATTATGGGCAGTCCTTTTCTGTGCACCATTCTGGCTGGTGAAGACCATGTCACAGGTCTTACAAACTCCTCCTTAAACACGTAAGTGCTCAAAGCAGACTTGAGACCAATGAGAACAATGTTTGGAGCATTTTTGGATGAGAGTTTACTGATGGCACCTATCAGTAGTTATGAGGAGTTGCCAGTGGAGGAACAGTAAATAAAATATTGGTAAATTCTACTGATTAGTATCCAAGCCAGACAGTGAGTAGAGAGAAAATTCTGTAGTGACAAAAAAGAGTCTATTCCAATCTCACCTGCATTTACTCTTGATTTTGCAGCTGACATTTGTCCTTCATGATAAAATGCTATGATAGACTTGAATTAATTGTGCTGCAAGTGCTCAGTAGCAATGTTAGCAGGACTGAGATATACTGGGTATGCTAAGAAGAAGATACTAGAGACAATTTTGCTAAAAGACACAAATTAATTTTTCATTCTAACATAGAATTGGGAAAAAAAAATATGCCTGATAGAATATTTTGTTTTAAAATTTGGTAGGCTAATGTTTGAAAATGTAAGCTCAGGGCTCCCTCATCAGGTAGCTATGAAAATGAGATCATGTATATGGTAAACACCATGATAATTATCCTTAACATCATAATGTCACAATATGTCAAAAAATAAGCCAGTATTTTTTCATGTTGAAAAAAAAAAATGTTTTATCTTCTACATTTCATTTCTAAAAAGCTGTTTTTAATGTGTTAGAGGCAGAGAAGTTCAGTACCAATATTACAGGCAGAACGCTGATGGCCACTGTCACGAAGAAGCCTACAGCTAAATCAGTAGCAGAACTCCAGTCTCTTTGATTGCCATGCCATCAGCAATCCAATTAAAAATACCATCCTCCTGTACAATGCTAGTGTGCACTGCACCCACTAGCCCTTTTTTATCCTCAGGGAAAATAAGGTGGAGAGGTTGAGTAACTTTTCTCAAAAATATCAAGGCAAAAAGTCTGAGAGCATGCAAATTCTTCAAGTGAGAAAGGTTTAACGATTCTGATGTGCTTCTGAGGGGGCAGAAGGACAAACTTGGACCTGTCAGTTGCTGGCAAGATGACATACTGTTCTGCTGATAGTAACGTAGCATGACAGATATATTTTGTTACTGAAACCCACAGGTAACATTAAGACCCATTTTAAGATCTGGATTACTTGCAATGCTTAGAATGAAAATTTAAGGTGAGCAAAGGCTTTCTTCCTTGTTTGAGGTCATATCAGAGACAAAACCATATTTCTTGTTTTCTCTCAGAAATCTAAAACAAATAGTTCTGTCCTAATCCCAGCATGGCCAACCCAGAAAATTAATTAATTAATTAATTAATTAATCCTTATTGGGTTAGCTTCTATTATTTGTGAAGTGATATTGTGACCAACAAATAACTGTGATGCACATTGAAAAGCCTGCCAGCTTCACAATACAGATAGAAAATATATAAAAAAATGGGGGAAAAGCAATAGAAATTATGGATAAGAGTACTAACAGGAAAGGTAGCTTTAAATCTTATGAAATTAAAAATGTGCTCAGTGCTTTTAAGAAATGTAGAAGAGGTATATTATATGGAAAATCTTCGCTATTCACAGCTTCTTGCCCTCTCTTTGGATGTGATCTCAGAAGCCAGATTGCAATGAGCCAAGCTCTTCTGCAGCTAGTGTTTCATTCTTGGCAGGACAAAAGAGAGGCAGTTGGGTTGGCAGCTTTGAAGTTACTTTTGGGCTTGTCACATGATGTCGCTGCCAGTAGGTTCTCTGAGCTGTTGCAATAATTTCTCTTGATTTGGCTGTCACTGAGAAAAAAAGTTAAGCTTTCTTCTGTGTGCGAACTAGGTTGTGCAAATCTCTCAAGTAGGGCCTTTTATACTGAAAGAAAATGGGGAATCCCTGCTGTCTGTGTTAGTTTGACATGCCCTACAAATTCACAGCCTGACCTGCAGTTCTGTTATGAAAAGCACATTTGAACACCTGAAAAAAACTCGTGTTGTCTGCCATCCTATGTCTGTTAACCCCTCCTTCTTGTTTCAGAAACGTAGACTTTAGTTAAACTGCTGAGAAGGGGGATGTATCCATGTCGTGGGGTGATCCCTGGACAGCAGCATGCTCATATACACTCAGATTTCCTTTCTGATTGTCACTGGGTTGTCGGAGGAGATCATTGTTTTGTGCTGCTATTTCTTCAGCACCATTGCACCTTTTCCCTCCCTCTCTCACTTTAGAAAGGGAGCCAGGGGCTGGCGTTTCCCAGTTGGGCTGCAGTCACAGGCCAGCCATGAGCTCCCCTTACCTCTCCTCAATAAACAAGTAGCATTTCAAAGTATTTTTCTTTTGTAACCTCAAAGACTGCATTAGTACACTGCATGATGCCCAGCAACAGCACTGTCTATCCTGCAGCACTTTACTGGTGTGAGCTTTTCATCTCCTGGGGTTTCCACCTCTTTGTCAGTCTGTACTCTGAGCCACTTAGAAGTCAGGAGAGATGCTTTGAGGTATGCCTTCCCTTTTAGTGGATCATGAATTTTTAGAGCCATCTGCACTGTGTCTCAGAACTGCACTATAGAGGCATTACAGGCACAAGTGGCCCTCAGAATCTTCTTGTGCTGTTGGCAATAAGCAGTAAAGTGCAGCTATGCTTTCTTGACCACGCCACTGTAATGTTTTCAACTTCTTCTCTTTCTTGTGTATAATGATTTAGATTGAGCATACTTTCAGCAAATGTATGCAGTAAAAAATCAAGGATTGTAAATTTTGTGATATATCTAAGAGGAAAAGACAAAAAGATTATTACTTCTAAACTATTTTAGCCACCGTTGAAGGACACAATCCTGCAAAGATGCAAGTAACTTCACTTAGTTGAGTTGAGCCTTTCATTGCTACTCAACTGAGTGAAGTTAACCACAAAGATTAATGGTTTAACATATGTATTTACTTGGGAGATCAGGCAAAAAACTATTTTGGCGGGGCCATTAATTTTAAATGGCATGTTTCTGCTACATTACTTCAGAGCTAGATTTTCAGGATAGAAAAGGGCTCTTTCATTTTCCAGGGCTTTGCCCCAGTGTCTTAACTTAAAATAAATAAATGAATAAAATAATAATAATAATCCAAACAAAACTCTCGTGTTACATTATGCTTTTTAATGGACAAAAGCAACTATTTTGATTGTGGTTCTTCAGAATGTAACAGATCTGCATTAATAGTTTTTCTTGTGCATCTTTTACACAGTTATTATGAGGCTTTGTGCTTGGACAAGGAAAAATGTGGTATCAGGATCCTGAATACTGTGATTCTAACAAAGGATTATGAAAAATGTTTAAAGTTAATTCCAGTAAAAGTGAAATCACTGCAGTCTTTCTTCAAACTCAAGTTGTGTGACAAATTCAGAGGGAACAAAGTGTGCTCAGAAAGTGGTACTCGGCTCTTCCTGCTTAGAAATAATATTCCATGTGGTATTGTGATATTGTTGTGAGGATATGACTTTGTTGGTAATCCCAATATTCATTGCTACATTGTGGAGATCCAGATACCATGTTTTCATTTTTTTTAAGTAACTTTTGGTTTTGGTAAGAGGGTGGTAAAATTTACATTCATCAATATTTCATAACAGGTTTCATTCTTGGGAATAAAGAGCCATCTTTTCAAGTCTTTAACCTAGCCAAATTTGTAGTCCAAACTGACCAAGGAGGGAAAGAAAATCTAGAGAAGTTGCTGCCTTTGTCTTTCTCTGCTGTGGTTTCTGATCAGCCTCTTTCAGATTTACCTACAGACCTGGCAGAGATGAGAAGGCACCACTCCAGCACTACAAGGCACCTCCATTCTGTAGTCTCAAAAGGCATTTCCACAATATCTTTGCACATGTGCAAACCATCATGTCCTTGGAGGACAGAAAAAGTGGACAATCTAGCAGTAGTGGTACTGCCTCTCCCCAGATCTCCTCCTGGATTTCACCAGGAGTTTGTTTGCTTCTTGCAAAATAAAACACAGGCATAACACAGCCTGATCGAGCGAAGGACTTCAAAAGATGGCCCAAAGTACCTGTTTCAGTCAGAAATAAGACAATAATATTGTCATTTGTTTTGAGTGGTGTTGCAACTTATTCCAAGTACACTGAGATGTATGTCACTCTTAGGGGGTCTCCTATCCCTCTCCATCAGTGACTGACCCTACGCTCACAGCAGAAGCACTGGATCAGACCATTGCTGCATTTGACACGGTGGAGGATCTGCTCAAACACTTTAATCCAGACTCCTGGCAAGAAGATCTGGAGAATTTGTACACAGACAGTGGCCACCATTATCGAGGCAGAAGTTACCATGACAGGAAGTCCAAAGGTAGGAAAGATATAATATATAAATTTTGCAGGAAAAATAGGCTTTTCCTTCACTCCTCACAGAAATGTCTTAAGTATGAGATTCTGATGCCTATTTTCTTTTTGGGGCCATAGGACAAACTATCACCTGTTACAACTAGGAATAAGTCATTTAATCCTTAATCATTTTCTGACTGAGTAGGATCTCACCTGAGAAATCAGTATGAAAACTGCCTATCATTATGATAAATCCACAAACACAACCACAGGCCTTTGAGTAAAGTGCAGATGGTTCTCAGCTTCACCTTCTTAAACATTACTTTATGTTTAAGGCATGGGGCTCCTAATTACCTGCATTATCATCCTCTGTTAAATACCCTGCTTTGGGATTATTCTCTGTTGAGTGAGAAATAATCACTTTTATCACATCGTGTTTAGGGAAGCATCTGCTGCAGACACCTGTATGTGCAGCTGGTTTTTTAGGATGTGAGCATCTCACAGTTTTTCATTATGTTGGCGGCAAGCATTACTGTGGTTTAACATCTTAGAAATTGAGCAAAGTATGCATTTCTGGGTTATGTTTCTTGTTTTCTTCTGTTAGTTCAAATAATCCACCAAATGGTAGAGCAAAGAGATGGTAAGCTAGGAAAACCATACCGATAAAGAAACACTATATAAAAAGTCATTCTCCTAGGTCATTGGTGGGCATGAGTTGGCAGATGTAGAATGACATTAGCAGTGGTCGGTATGCATGTGGTCATCCTGTCTTGGTGTGTAAGAGGCTAGTGGCAGAGAAGTGGGCTCTCCCATGCCTTTTGAACTTGGTGCAGGAGAATGACCGCAGGAACATGCAGTATATTAGTAGTTACACAGCCAGCTTAGGCTGTAGTTTCCAAAATGTGTTGACTATCTCTGCCTTTTGGTTCAGAACTTAAAGAAATCTGTAAAAAGCCCTGAGAACCCATCTAAAGAAAGTTGGCCCTCTTTACTTCACTCCATTTTAGCACATCAAAATTTTCAGGCAACCACAACGCTCCATCTTTTGTGAAAAGATCACCTGACTGCAACAGCATCAGAGATCAGTTTGATCTCTTTTAGGGGTCTGTGAAACATGAAAAGTATGTATCCTATCCAGGCTGGATTCAGCACTGATAGACATGCATACCGAAGAAATAAAATTACTGTTTTGATTTTACTAAAGGTGATTAGAAACCTGGATCTTGTACTCTTTCTGCTCTCCAAATGTCATTTGATCCTCAGAGCATATTTGGCCTTGTACCCCATGTGTATACATGACAACACATACATAGAAAATAGCATTTGATGCTTATGTAGGCTGATGACATAGGCTATAGGCATCAATTTGATTTTCTGTTACTGCTCAGAAAATTCAGATGTATAAGGGTTTATTCATTATTGTTTTAATGCTTTTTGTTTATTTAGTTAAGATTTCATTCTACTTATTTATTTATTCATTTTTTTTTTTTAACTACAGGAATTAACACAGGGGAGGGAGGGGGAATTAACACTGGGACGGGGAGGAGGGGAGAGAAATAAAAAAGTTTCACAACAGTTTTTCTTTTGTCTTCAAAAAAAGGTCAAATTCCCTAAATATTAGCAGCCCTCTGGACAAAAGTACCTCAACATATTCAAATCTTTAAAAAAAATCAGTTAATAATTTGTCTTTAGTCATAAACTTCTGACAAAGATTAAAGACTGTTTCTTGGATGATGTCAGGAGTAGCGAATAACTTTAACAAGTCTTTAAATTAGAAATGCCTGGTGGCTTTTAAACACAGACACTGTGGATCTCTGAGGAATGTTTATAGGCACTCAGATAAACTTGCAGTAAAGAGAGCAGTAGATTATATCATTATTTATTTCAGATATCTATTTCTACTTCCAGCTTGGGTTTTATTCTTTATCCTTTGTTAGAACAGCTGTGAGGTAGATTAGAACAATTTGATGTAATCTCTGCCTACCTTTCACAATATTTTCAGAACAGGTCATATAAATGATATAAATAAATTGGTAATGATCTCACTCCTATCAAATTCTCTGCCCATACCAAATTGTGCCAGAAAATTGCGTTTAAGAGGCAGTGTTGCTGAATATCAGTTCTGATAACAGAGATATATAATAAATGACATTTAAATGGTATTTTTTTCCTTAATTTGGCAATCAATAATTCACGAAGATAAGGATCATAGTTAAGGAAAGAAGCACAGTGTTTTAGCAAAGCTTAAATCTACTGAGTCATGGGTTAGATGAAGTGGGAAAGTACATCAAGAGATTGCCTAATCTAACCTCCCTGCTCAAGGTAGGACCATCTGCAGCAAGTTGCTGGGGATCATGTCCAGTAGAGTTTTGAGTATCTCCAAGGATAGAGACTCCACAACCTGTGGCAGTGTCTGACCACCCTCAGAACAACAACAACAACAAAGTAGTGTTTGTTTGTTTGTTTGTTTTAAAATATTTAAGTAGATTTTCATATGTTGCAATTTGTCCAATACCTCTTGTCCTTTCAAAGAAGACTCTGGCTCCATCTTCTTTACTTCATTCATGAATTTATAGACATTGATAAGACCAGTCCTTCCCTGGATTCCTCCTGCAACATCCTTAAAGGTGAAGGCTTTGTTGATTAAATGTATCGTTATATATATGATAACCCTATTCCATCTACAATAACTGATCTCATACCTCTACAACACTGATGCAACTCTATTTAGTTAAACGTGTTGCATTCTAATTACTCCACTCAGGTGGGATACTGTTATCAGATGTGCCTTGTTAATAACCACATGAAGTTTGAAATTTAATTCTACTTATGTTCAATGAGGTTTTCTGTTAGTCACCAGAGTGACTAACACACTAGTATAGAATGTACATATAGAATCACAGTGATACCTAGAAAAAATAAAAAGACAGAAAAAGAAAGGGGAAGATACACACTTGCATTTTCAAAATCCTTACATGAGAGGTCTTGTATAAGCTATAAACTATGGTGTACACCTTCTACAAGAAAATATGACAGAGTAGAGGTTTCAAAAAGCTTTGCAGTAGTTTTAACTGTACTCAAAAAGGTTTGCTCATCACTGATGCATTTTAGAAACTCTGAAAGTGTGAATATTCAGCCTTAGGCTCATCCTAGACTCTCAGGAAAAAGCAGGTCATACCAAATAAAGTATATCTTTTAAAGTAATTCCTCTTGCTTTGCTGTAATATGTTTTAGCTGACCTCAGTGTCATAGTAATTTGGCTGTTACAAATACAAAACTTCTCTAAAAGGCTATCACTAGCTATTGGGTTATTTTATACTGTTCTTAGCAAGAACACCAACACATATAAAAAAGAAAATGGCCATATTCTGCAATTGTGTTGAACTTCTAGACAAATAGGTCTCTGTTCTTTTAGGGAATCATAAGGAACATTTAGAAGTGTTTGAAGGGAATTTGTTCACCCAACAGTTGTGTTTTTTTTGTTTTGTTTATTTTGTTTGTTTGTTTTTGAAAGCATCAGTGTATCTGCTTAATACTAGAAGAGCTCCTCAGACATACTGCTGTAAACAGTTCCAACTATCAGTTAAACATCATTTAACTTTTGCCACATGCTTGTTTGCATTTATCTTTTGTTATTCACTCTGAAGTTTTATATCTCATTAAAAATTCTTTAGAAGGTTTTTTTTTTTTTTTTTAAGAGAGGAAAAGAGGAAGGAAGGAAGGAAGGAAGGAAGGAAGGAAGGAAGGAAGGAAGGAAGGAAGGAAGGAAGGAAGGAAGGAAGGAAGGAAGGAAGGAAGGAAGGAAGGAAGGAAGGAAAAGAAACAAAGAAGGAAAGATAACTCTGCCTGTTAAATGACCTGTGTTTAAACATCTAGGAAGAAGGAAAAGAGAAAGAAAAAGTTCGGTGTCTTATTAGATCCAAATGTCTAGGGGATGTTACATAAAGAAAAGGGTCATCTTTAGATTTTTTTTTTTTTTTCATAAATAGACCTAGGAAACAGGAACATCTGTGGATACATTCTGGTAATGAGCAAGACTACACATGCCTCTGAGATCATTTTCTTTTTGAGAAACAGTATGCAGGAAGGCTTTGGCTATCAGAAGAAATTAATCAGGTGGGACATTCTTGTAATAACATCTGTCTGCAATGACAACTTTACAAGTTAAATAAATAAACACTTTCTAGCATAGCCAAACTGCTCCCTAGAAGGGGAATAGCAAGGTGAGACCACAAGTCTTAACAGAATGTTGCTGCCATCCACTGCCATACAGTTTCCCAATATCAAGCAAGTAGCACCATGTCCTTAACAATACCTTTTAATTATTACTGTTTACAATGCTCTAGGAAGAAGTTAAACAAAATTTGAACCCAGGAATGTCATTTCTCGGGGGTTTGCAAACAGTGGCCAATAAATTACTGCAGACATCCATGTACTCTTCCTTGAAAGCTTCTGGGATGGCTGCCAGCAAGTTTCAGTGCACCAGACAGGGAGTGCAGGCATCACAAATGCTGAATGCATGCTCATTCATAGCACATGTGAATATTCTGACTAGATGGAATGCCTTCTCAAGTAGCTGCTAATATAAAGTATTCCCTATGCTTAAAAAAAAAACAAAACAAAAAAAAAAACAGTATACTTCTTCCTCTCTTCCTCAGTTAGGAAATGCTTTATCTGTTGCATGCAAATAGCACACACTCATTCATTTCATAGTCTTAATTCAGATCTACATCCATATTCTTCCTCCTCTGTAATAAATGAGATATTCCCTCATGCTTTACATGGCATTATTTTTGGCCACTGCAGTGAAAGCTTTTCTTATTAAACCCTTTTTTTAAAAAAAGCTAGTGAAACTTGCATCATATTATTTATCACTGGAATAAGCTGTTCAGTTCCATTGATTTCAATGAAGCTATGTCCATTTACGGCATTGATGGTTTGGCCTGATTTTGCTACTTGACCCATACCACAGCTGATAATTGGTTTGCTAGTCTATAATAAGCCTATATATTGTGAACATTGTTT